TGTGTGTGTGTCTGTCAGATTGTGTGTGTGTGTGTCTGTCAGTTTGTGTGTGTCTTTCAGTGTGTGTGTGTGTCTGTCTGTGTGTGTGTCAGTTTGTGTGTGTCTTTCAGTGTGTGTGCATCTGTCAGTGTGTGTGTGTGTGTCTGTCAGTTTGTGTCTATGTTTGTCAGTGTGTGTGTGCCTGTCAGTTTGTGTGTGTCTTTCAGTGTGTGTGCATCTGTCAGTCTGTGTGTGTGTGTGTGTGTCTGTCAGTTTGTGTGTGTGTCTGTCAGTGTGTATCTGTCAGCATGTGTATGTGTGTGTCTGTCATTGTGCGTGTGTCATGTCTGTCAGTGTGTGTCTGTCAAATGCATGAGTGGGACACATGGAAAGGTTTGGGGTGGGAAAGATACATGGGCTGTGATGTGCAAGAGACACATAGAGGGACTGGGAGGTTGGAGAGACACATGGGGGATTGTAAAGGCGCTGGGCAGGAATGAGACACATGGAGGGGCAAGGGGGAGAATGAGACATGTGGAGGGGCAAAGGGGAGAATGAGACATGTGGAGGGGCTGGGAAGGAATGAAACACATTGAGGAACGGAGGGGGAATGAGACATGTGGAGGGCCTGGTGGCGGTCATGAGACAATGGAGGGGCTGGCGGGGGATGAGACATGTGGAGGGGCTGTTGGGATGGGGGATTAGACACATGGAGTGGCGCGAAGGAGGATGACATACATTGGGGGAGCCCAATGGAAATTTTCACACCAGGGCCCGGTGGTTTCAAGTTATGCTTTTGACAGGAGTAGTAGCAATACTGTCTCAAAGAAAAAAAACAGATCAATCCTTGTGAATTATATACTGAAAAACTGTCAGATACAGAAAAGTGATATGAAATAGGAGACAGAGAACTGCTTGAGTTTATTTTGTGACATCTGTTTGAAGGGAACTCCAATAACGATCTTAACTGATCATAAAAACCTATTTTATATTGGGGAAGCCAAACAATTATTGGCAAGACCAAACCCAAATGCTTCAATCAAGGATGGATGCTTCAAATCCAGGAATGGATTTAAAAAAAAAAAATTTACTTTTTTCCTGCTGGCAGCATCAAATTAAATAATTAAAACTAAATAAATAATTGAAATGTGGGGGTCAAAAAGATTCCCATATCACTGTAAGGGTGGTTTAAAATCTCCCTATGCAAACCAATGGCTGCTGAGTTGGGAGTTTTAACTACTTAGTAGACATGCACCCATCACCTGCATGCACTGGCCAGCCACCACATAATTAACCCTTGTGCTTCCAAGGGTTTTAACTATTTGCCTACTGCCTGCTAGCGCTGTCAGTGGGCCAATGGTTATTCAGATTACCATTCATTTACAAAAAGGTTAGTGACTGATAATTTATGAGTGTACATCCTGATGCATGCATTTGGTTCACAATTGTATTAATATTGGTGCTCTCTGAATTTTCTGAATCTTTTACTTTGTATGAAATTTAGATGTGAAACCACTGATTGTTTACTGTAGCTGACCAGAACTCTGTAATTTTCAATGTATTTTGTTAATCAGGAAAATATCCACTCTTTCAGTGAATAACCCTGTTAAGTCTGTAAGTCTTGCTAAAAAATGCTATAAAACAGAGTACAACTGTAAGTGTAGGCTCAGGGCATAATTACATTTTACAATAGCAGTCTTTTGAAATGCAGCAGCCTTTGGAAAATAGATGCTAATTGATACCAACTAATTGAATTTACTGAACAAGGCACAATGTCTAATCTCTCATACTCTTTCCCCAAAATATTCTTTCAAATGAAGGTCTAAAAGGGATTGATGAAAAATATAGTTGTATAAAAAAATAAAATCTTTAGTTATATACAAAGTACAGAATGTTTATTTCAAAACTCAGAACATCAACAGTCTAATTGTAATTTTGGGTAACAATTAAAGGCAATCTATGCTCAAAATATCAGAATGAAGAACAAAAACATTCAATTATGTGACATGAATAACTTTCATACATAAATTTAAAAGCTTTATTTTTTGTCATTTGCAAGAAATAATACATATTTTTTATTTTAACTAAGAAACCAGAGTAATGAACTCAATACTAGTTTATATACTGATAAACCACAGCCTACTGTTGTGATATATTAAAGACATTTCCATGTGCCGTGTTAGAGATCATTCTTACAGCTTACCTTTGCTGCAGAATTTTCTTTTTTTTACTATGGGAAAAGGGTGAGTCTTCTATGTCTAAAAGCTAGTAATGGCATAAAAAATATTGCTTTATTAATTATTTATTTCAACAAGCAATCACAACCCTCCTGACTGTGGCAGTAAAAAATCTTATACTGAAATTGTAGTTTTTCTTAGCCTTGCTCTCATTCCGGGAGCAAACCCTGCTAAATATAGTGATACAAATTGCTTGCATCAATACGTGTATGTTTGTAAAACAAATAAATTTGGAGGTTTGTCGCACAGCTCACATAGAAAAGCATGAAGATAGACAAATGTTACTAACAAATGAAAAACCTTGTTTCTACAAGGATAATTTACAAAAGGCTAAATTTCTCTCTATGAAAGTCAGACAAAACAATAGGCCATTTTGTTTCTTATAAAATTAATTTTATTTATTACCAGCTAAATTAAAGTCAAATTGCATTAAACGCAGGAATTATAAATTTGTTTCTGAAATTGCTACTGAACAAAACAATGAACAAGATTAATAACAAATAAAATAAAAAATGCAGGGGTCTGATAAAAGGTGGAAGCCTTCAAATGGAGGCAAAGCAAATATTACAAAAGGAAAACACAGGTTGCGCCAAATCAAAGCAGATATAAGAACATTATACAAAATGGAAAATTCTGAAAAATAATTCAACTGAATGGAGTCCACAATTTTCAGTTTATGATGGCATACCCCTATGATGGCATACCATTTGCAATAGTAGACAACCCAAGGTATTGCAAATGGGGTATGTCCAGTCTTTTTTAGTAGCCATTTGGTCACAAACACTGGCCAAAGTTAGCGTTAGTATTTGTTTGTGTGTGAAAAATGCAAAAAACGCCAATTTTGGCCAGTGTTTGTGACTAAGTGGCTACTAAAAAAGACTGGACATACCCTGTTTGCAATACCTTGGGTTGTCTACTATTGCAAATGGTATGCCATCATAGGGGTAATTTTCATTCTCGGGCTACCATAGGGTCTCAAAGGCACCGTAACCAATCTGGCAAATTTTAATGTGAAAAAAATGAAACGCAAGCCTTATATTTGATGCTGTAACTTTTGAAAACACCATAAAACCTGTACATGAGGGGTACTGTTGTACTCGGGAGACTTCGCTGAACACAAATATTTGTGTTTCAAAACAGTAAAAAGTATCACAGCAATAATATCGTCCGTGTAAGTGCTGTTTGTGCGTGAAAAATGCAAAAACGTCACTTTTACTGGCGATATCATCGTTGTAATACATTTTACTGTTTTGAAACACTAATATTTGTGTTCAGCGAAGTCTCCCGAGTAGAACAGTACCCCCCATGTACAGGTTTTATGGTGTCTTGGAAAGTTATAGGGTTAAATATAGTGCTAGCCAATTAAATTCCCTTTACTTTCGGCATGGGTTGTCATGCAGGTCCCGCTAATTGTAATTAATTAAGATACCTAATTATGTAAAAATATTACATAAATATATATGTAGAATTACTATATGTATATATATACATATGCAAATCTATATGTGTATATCTATATAATTTTTTACAAATATTTTTATTTATATATAGGTATATATATATAGTGATATATACGTATTTATTTCGTTCTACGTGTATTTTGATATAAATATATATATATATATATATTAATATCACAATACAGTTAGAATGAAATAACATACATCTATATATTTTTTAATTAATTTTTTTAAATTATTATTTTAATTTTAAATAAATATATATATAACAATAATTATATATATTTAACCAGTATCAGTCTATGTGTAATTTGATATTAATATATATATATATAATTATATATATATTAATAGTAAAATACACCTAGACGGTGTACGTGTGTGTATGTATATGAGTATATATATACTTAGATCATATATATATAACATATATATATGATCTAAGTATATATATATTTTTTTTTACACTAATACATTTGATTTTCATTTTATTTCCAGCCAGCAGGGGGACCACCTGTAATTATAGGCAGCCCCCCTGCTGGCAATACAGAAGCCAGCTATCCCCGGCCATGTGATTGTGGGGTCCTCGCTAGGACCCCACTCTCACATGGCTGGGGGGCTTCGACGAGGACGGACGTGCCGCGGGGGGCTCCCTGGGAGTCCGCCCCACCGCTATCGCCGGCGTGGGACCGCCGGCGACCGGGTAAGTAGGCAAAAAACAGAGGGCGTACAATTACGCCCGGCGGCATTTAGAGCCGCCTATAATAGGGCGTAATTGTACGCCCTCCGGTCTAAAGGGGTTAAAAACAAGAGGGTATACAAATAGGATACCTGTGAATGTCCAATCACATTTAAAGGAGCTTATGTCTCCAGGTTCAAGTTTTACCAGAATGAGTTTATTATACCGTATATACTCGAGTGTAAGTCGACCCGAATATAAGCAGAGGCCCCTCATTTTCGCACAAAAAACTGGGAAAACTTATTGACTCGAGTATAAGCCATGGGTGGGAAATGCAGCAGCTACTGGTAAATTTCGGAATAAAATTTACAGTGTGTGTGTATAATGAATGCAGTGTGTGTGTTTGTGTAGTCTATGTATATAATGAATGCAGTGTATGTGTGTGTGTTTGTGTAGTGTGTGTATATAATGAATGCAGTGTGTGTGTGGTTGTGTAGTGTGTATATAATGAATGCAGAGTGTGTGCGTTTGTGTGTAGTGTGTGTATATAATGAATGCAGAGTGTGTGTGTGTGTGTTTGTGTGAATGCAGTGTGTGTGTATATAATGAATGCAGTGGTTGTATATAATGCAGAGTGTGTTTTTGTATGAGTGTGTGTGTATATAATGCAGAGTGTATGCATTATATACACACACTCTGCATTATACACTCACACACACACACTCTGCATTATATACACACACACTCTGTGTGTATATAATGCAGAGTGTGTGTGTGTGTGTGAGTGTAAACTGGGTGGGGTGTGTGTGTGTATATAATTCAGTGTGTGTTTGTGTGAATGCAGAGTGTGTGTGTGTAGTGTGTGTGTGTAAACTGGGTGGGGGGATGTCATTTTTATTATTATTTTTTTTTAAATATTATTTTTATATAATTATTTTACTATTTTTTTAATATTATTTAAATTATTTTAAGATATATATTTTTTTTTGTCCCTGTAACATTCCCTGGTGGTCCAGTGGATGGGCTGTGCAGTGTGGTGGGCCGGAGCAAGCTCTTACTTACCTTTGTAGCTGCTCCGGTCAGCTCCCTGTCAGCTCTGTGCAGCTCCCCTGTTCAGCTCACAGTGTAAGTCTCGTGGTCTGCGTGCCGTGCGGAGCATTGACACGGTAACCCGTGGCAACGCTCTGACGGCCGCAGGTGTCGCAAGACTTATACTGTGGAGCTGGACTGGGGAGCTGCACGAAGCTGACAGGAAGCTGACCGGAGCTGCTACAAAGGTAAGTAAGAGCTCATGGCCAGCCCCCAACAGGACAGCCGGGCTTGTAATGAGACCTTGACTCGAGTATAAGCCGAGTGGGGCTTTTTCAGCACAAAAAATGTGCTGAAAAACTCGGCTTATACACGGGTATATACGGTAATTAATTTATTAAAAACATATTTGATTATAAAGTATTTAATAGTATTTAAAAACATGGACTAGGTAGACTAGGTAGCAAATTAGTTTAACAAAGAATCACATTTTTGCCTCATTCCATTTTAAAAATGGATTCCTTTCAGTCTGTGTTTGCTGTATACAACAGCTTTGAAACACAACTTAGGAAAAGATGCAAAGCCAGTGAACCACTCATGGACAGCTGTTTCATTGTTAGTGCAAATCAAAGCTGTTGTATACAGCAAACACAGACTCAAAGGAATCCATGTTTAAAATTTGATTCTTTATTAAGCTAATTTGCATATGCCCACCGAGAATCCTTTGTGGTAGTAACATCACTGCAAATTTGTGATTTCTGTGGGAAAAGCAAGTGTTATGGTTTGAGTGGTGTGCAGATTTTTGTTTAACATTGTATGAACTATATACAATGTTACAATATATACAATACATATATATATATATATATATATATATATATATATATATATATATATATATATATGGGAAGGGCCAAAGAAAGGTACCCTTGAATTCAGCCCCTGCTCCCAAACCTTAGTTACAGAATCAGAGGGTACCTAATATTTGGAATTTAGGTATACATTAGTCCTCATGCTTTAAAAAAAAAACAATTCTCCATGTAGAGTGCCAGAGTAGTGTCTTCTCTCAGCACAGTTTATGCTTAAATGTATTTGCCTTCCAAAACTCCATGATCTTGAATGTTTTATCTTATACCCCTCATCGGAAAATGGTTTCAACTAGAGGTGAATTTAACAGCTCAAATTGTGAAAATCATGATGATGGACTTCTTTTAATATCTATACAGTGAAGGTTAGTCAATGAAGGAGATCCTGATTGCTCTGGTGGAGAAATATATCACTGTAGAGGATGCTTTACAGCCAGCAGAACAACCCCACAATATGAAGACAAAGAGTTCCACAAGAACTTTTAGGACTGTTCAGGGTAAAAGGGGAGTTAGAAATCATTGGGTTTATATCCAAGACATCAGTGGAAGAACCGTTAAGTATAGACCACCTAGAAAAGTCGCTGACTATGTGAAACATTGTTTTGAGTGTAATCAGGTTGGTTATATAGTCAGATAATGTGCACTTAAAGAGGAACCTATCCAGCAATGGGACCTGATGGAATGGGACCTGATGGAATACACCCAAGGCTATTAAAAGGGCTTAGTGGTGTACTATCAAAACCATTAACATATTTATTTAACCAATCATTGTTAACAGGAGTAGTCCCAGAAGATTGGAAGCTAGAGAATGTTGTGCCCATTCACAAGAAAGGTAATAGGGAGGAGTCGGGCAACTATAGGCCAGTAAGCCTTACTTCAGAAGTGGGGAAAGTAATGGAAACCATGTTAAAGGATAGAATTGTTAAACATCTAAACACACATGGATTTCAAGATCAGAGACAACATGGGTTTACTTCAGGGAGATCATGCCAAACAAATCTTATTGATTTTTTTGATTGGGTAACTAAAATTATAGATCAGGGTGGTGCAGTAGACATTGCTTACCTAGATTTCAGTAAGGCTTTTGACACTGTTGCACATAGAAGGCTTATCAATAAACTGCAATCTTTAAGTTTGGATTCCAATATTGTTGAATGGGTAAGGCAGTGGCTGAGTGACAGGCAACAGAGGGTTGTAGTTAATGGAATATATTCGAAGCTTGGACTTGTCACCAGTGGGGTACCTCAGGGATCTGTACTTGGACCCATTCTCTTTAATATTTTATTAGTGATATTGCAGAAGGTCTTGATGGTAAGGTATGTCTTTTTGCTGATGATACTAAGATATGTAACAGGGTTGATGTTCCAGGAGGGATAAGCCAAATGGCAAATGATTTAGGTAAACTAGAAAAATGGTCAGAATTGTGGCAACTGACATTTAATGTGGATAAGTGCAAGATAATGCATCTTGGAAGTAAACCCCAAGGGCAGAGTACAGAATATTTGATAGAGTCCTAACCTCCACATCTGATGAAAGGGATTTAGAGGTGATTATTTCTGATGACTTAAAGAAATGCAGGCAATGTAATAGAGCAGCAGATAATGCTAGCAGAATGCTTGGTTGTATAGGAAGAGGTATTAGCAGTAGAAAGAGGGAAGTGCTCATGACATTGTACAGAACACTGGTGAGACCTCACTTGGAGTATTGTACACAGTACTGGAGACCGTATCTTCAGAAGGATATTGATACCTTAGAGAGGGTTCAGAGAAGGGCTACTAAACTGGTTCATGGATTGCGGGATAAAACTTACCAGGAAAGGTTAAAGGATCTTAACATGTATAGCTTGGAGGAAAGACGAGACAGGGGGGATAATGATAGAAACATTTAAATACATAAAGGGAATCAGCACAGTAAAGGAGGAGACTATATTTAAAAGAAGAAAAACTACCACAACAAGAGGACATAGTCTTAAATTAGAGGGACAAAGGTTTAAAAATAATATCAGGAAGTATTACTTTACTGAGAGGGTAGTGGATGCATGGAATAGCCTTCCAGCTGAAGTGGTAGAGGTTAACACAGTAAAGGAGTTTAAGCATGCATGGGATAGGCATAAGGCTATCCTAACTATAAGATAAGGCCAGGGACTAACGAAAGTATTTAGAAAATTGGGCAGACTAGATGGGCCGAATGGTTCTTATCTGCCATCACATTCTATGTTTCTATGTTACCACATGTGGTGAAATAACAGGGGGACACAATTCTGCTAATGATTGTGATTCTTCCTAGTTTTGTGTGAATGTGAATAGTAGATGGTCTAAACCACTGATTTGGAAGTATTGTCAACTTGGTGTCAAAATCTGTAGTAGTTTGGTTATGGATTTTTAACATAATAGGAATGTGTTTACTTAGACATACAAATAAAATCAGTATTAAAACTCAATGTGGTACTTTAATATATTGATTGGGTGTAGTACTGTAGTTAGCCCATGAGGTGGCAACAGGGACAGATTTGTCAAAATTTCTTGAATTATAGGCATTGTCAGAAAAGTCAGGTCAGTAATAAACAGAAAATGAAAAAAAAATATTATTATGTGTTTCTTTTTCTGAAATTGACTTGACTTTTAATGTTTTGAAAAATGAAGATATACAGTGCAGTGTTAGTAGGGGACCAACTAGTAGAAAATTGTGTTAGCTGAGCAAAGTACTTCCAGAGAAAGATGATTGTTGAATCTGGTGATTAGCCCTTGTAATTTAAAGAGAGCCCAATGGGGATAATTCCACTTCAGCTGAAGCACAAAAATATTATTAAGGTTATAAAAATTTTTGCTACACAGCTGGAAAATCCATTGTCGTCTCCTTATTTTGAAGTAATCAATGATCTAATATATATTTTGTAGAAAATAAGTGTCTTAGATACTGTTGAAGAATTATTTGTACCATGGATTTTTCTGTCTGTGTGTTTTGATATTTTAATATTTTGATGAAATATTTTTTCAAGTTTATTCAATAATATTAAGTTATTTGAAAAGCTTACCCAACAATAATCAATCAAGACCTAATGCCTTGATTTTATAAGCTTTCAAAATTATTAAATACTGTTAAAAAAAAAACGTTACAAATTATTTATCTGCAGAAGTCACCATTAAGGTATATCGAAATTTTTGTAGGTAAATAATTTCAAAAGTTTTTCTAACAGTATTGAATCATTTGTAAAGCTTATTAAAGCAAGGCCTAAAATTATAGAAACATAGAAACATAGAATGTGACGGCAGATAAGAACCATTCGGCCCATCTAGTCTGCCCAATTATCTAAATACTTTCATTAGTCCCTAGCCTTATCTTATAGTTAGCATAGCCTTATGCCTATCCCACGCATGCTTAAACTCCTTTACTGTGTTAACCTCTACCACTTCAGCTGGAAGGCTATTCCATGCATCCACTACCCTCTCAAAAATATTTTTCCATGCATCCACTACCCCCCCAAAAATAATATTTGGATTTAATATTATAAAACGTGGGAGCTGAGAAAACTAAAGGTTTCATTGACCATGATTTTTCACTACTATAAATGTATTGATGTTCATATCGTAAGTATCAGCTCCTTGTAAAATAATTAAATTAATTGGCAATAATTGGCAATGACTTAGCAGAACATCTAGAGAAATCACGTAGGGGCAACAGTATATACTTGTCATTATTCTGGATTATGTGACTTGACATCTAGAAGCTTGCCATCTAGAACCAACGCAACAGTTTTGCAAAGGAGATTATGAATGGGTGGATATACCTAAGGAAAGATTGACAGACTAGTCAATATCATTCACAGG